CCACAAGGTTGTCGTAACCAAGCTGGTCTCCCTAGTATTAGCAGGCTGTGCGGATTGCACCGTGGCAGCGCTGTGATGGGACGCAGGGGAGCCTGCTCTCAGTGCTGGGTGCAATCAGCGTGCACCTCGCTTCCCGGGCCCTGGCTGTACGTGGGTGTCCCGTTAGTGGCACCGGTCGGAAAAAACTACCCAGCCAAAAGCCAGCGGGCTCTGGCAACTGCAAACAGAATGTCTCGCAGGCCACATGCTGCCCACCTGCTCCAGACCCGTCCCCTGCGTGACTGGCTGCCGTAGCCATCAGTCCTCTCCTGTGGCACCCCCCCCAGAGAGTTTGGGTCACAGCGACTTGCCCCCCTCTTCTGCCCAGTACCCGTGTAGGCCTTCCCCTCCCCCAGCGTGGGGTGCAGAGGAGTGGAGTGCCGTCTGCTTCCTTTGGAGAACCCTTTGTGGTCTTTTCATCCGTCATCGGGGCACCCAGCCCACAACAATTTGCCCCTCTGGTGTCCTCTTGTAGGTGTGAACTGCCAGCTCGCGCTGTCTCCCTGTTCCTCTGAGCCATGTGCGAACTCTGGCGTCTGCCGCCCGGCGCCCAACTCGGAGGGCTACGCCTGCCAGTGTGCTGCTGGCTGGGAAGGTAATGGGGGGGACGGGGCGCTCCGCCGTTCATGGGGGGGACGGGGCGCTCTGCCGTTCGTGGCTGCGACAGGGGGGAACGGGGCGCTCCACCGTTCGTGGCGTGCGACGGGGGGACGGGGCGCTCCACCGTTCGTGGCGTGCGACGGGGGGACGGGGCGCTCCACCGTTCGTGGCGTGCGACGGGGGGACGGGGCGCTCCACCGTTCGTGGCATGCAACGGGGGGGGCGGGGCGCTCTGCCGTTTGTGGGGGGGACGGGGCGCTCCGCTGTTCGTGGCTGCGACGGGGGGGAACAGGGCGCTCTGCCGTTCGTGGCTGCAGTTACCTCCGTGGAGACTTAACCCCTTGGCCTCCTTCTGGTTTCAGGCCAGAGGTGCACCGTGGACGTAGACGAGTGTGTGTCAAAGCCCTGCAAGAATCAGGCGCTGTGCCGTAACACTCAGGGCAGTTACGTGTGCGAATGCCGTCCGGGCTTCACTGGACGAGGCTGCGAGAGCAACGTTGACGACTGCCTCCCAAGTGAGTGCACGGCTATTCTCCGAAAGACGCCGTTTCCTGTTTGCTCGAGGAACAGCTTCCCGATGCCGCTAATGCTGCTCTTGGCGCTGCAGGGACCGCTTCCTGCTGTAGCCCTTTGCTTCAAACATATCAGCTTTGGGAAACTTCATCTTTGGGGCTGGAATGGCCTTTGCTGGCTGTCAGGGGAGCTGGCTGCAGCACGTAAAACAGGAGGAGTCAGGCTCAGGGTTTGAGTTTCAAAGTGTAGAAACGTTAACCCACATTCACCAGGGGCACCCTCAAATTGAGAGTCTGCTCTGCCCTGCTGAAGCAAAAGTACCATCTTAGATTGTCCCGTCACAGTGCTCCCTTCCTGAACCCACCCTTTCTAACCGTCCGAGGGCCAGGAAAACGGGCTGTCTTCCAGGAGGATTGGCGTGCCAAAGTTAGGGTTCTGCAGCGCCGGATCGTAAGCTGAATTTTCATAAATTAGTGAATTTGAAAAAAAAACGGACAGTTTCCCTGTAGGAAAGTTGCAACTTTTTGCAGGAGTAGCTCCGACAAGTATCCAAGAGCAAGTCCGAATTTAGACGGTTCAGCTAGATTCTGGGGGGAGCAACTTACTTGTATCACATTGCAGATCTCGTTCTAAGCGTGGGTGGCTGTAACAGCCAGCCAGGGTAGCTCGCAGTTGCTCAGCTGCTGCTGCAGAGGCAGATGGAGACCCTGGCAGCCGTATGCCCTTCCTCACGTGGGCCGTGTTGCTGTTGTAGATCCCTGCCAGAATGGAGCTGTGTGTGTGGACGGGGTGAACTCCTTCTCGTGCACCTGCCTGCCTGGCTTCCAGGGGAATAAGTGCCAGGCAGATATCAACGAGTGCCTGAGTGAGCCCTGCAGGAACGGTGGCACCTGCACGGACTACGTCAACAGCTACACCTGCAAGTGCCGGGCAGGATTTGAGGGGACCCACTGCGAGAACAACATTGACGAGTGCACCGAGAGGTGAGTGCCCTTCCACAGGGATGGAACGCTGAAAGCAGTTGTGCACCGGAGCACCGCTGGGCACCCGTCTTCCTGCCTGGCGGCCTTGGGACGCGCTCATCCCTAGACCGAGGGGGTCTGCCTCGCTTGTGGCTTGGGAGAATCTTGTGCTGTCCAAGGTACCACGTGTGGCTCTGTGCTCAGGGTGCAAGTCCAGGTGGCAGCTCCCTTAGTTCTGGCCCCCTGTGGTCCATAGGACGTGTGAATTGCCCTCTCCCCTTTTGTGATCACTTTCGCCCTGATGGTGTTCACCAAAAGGGCGCCTGTTGGTCACCCCGTCCCACAGGGACACACGTCTCCGGTGCTGTTGCACTTGGTGATTTGGTCTCTTGTGGTCAGCCAGGCAGCATGCATCCTGCCTGGTGCATCGTGGGAATCGGCTCTGACTTGTTGAGCCACCCAGTCCCGGGGGCTGATGGGAAGGTGCCAGCAATATGGAAAGCAGATGAATTGCCTTTCCGGATGGAGGCTGATGAGGAAGCTTGTCAAACGCGATGGTGGGGGGTGGAGTTACTAAGTCAGTGGGTCGAAGGAATGTCATGGATGTAAAATAAACGGCTTGCCACTGGGTCAGTGTCCCTTGAAAAATTAACTCCGCCTCTCTGGGATAGAAACGCTGCGTATAATCAGAGAGGTGCCAAGGGGACCCTACGGTGGTCTACTGGGACATCCTTTCCAAGCCTTTCGCTTCTTGGCAAATCAGAGACAGCAGAGCCACAACCAGCCGCCATGCTTGATTCGTCGTCTCTCCGGTGTCCCTGAAACGATTCCTGTATATTTGGTGCCCTGTGCCGCCGAACGACCTCCGGAGCTTTGCACAAGGGAAAGCCGGAGCCAGGTGCTGGGAGCAGACGCCAGAGCTAGTCAGACTGCAAATAGGATGCACCTTGTAAAGTAGGGCATGGCCAGGGATGATTGGGAGTCTCCAGCGCTGGGTCTCTCCGTGGGGCCTGGGAGTCTCTGAAGAAATGCCTCTGGCTCGGCCGCAGGCTGCGGGCTCACTTGGTCAGAGGGGCAGAGTGTGGCCCAAAGAGACCAGCATAGACATCCAGGGGGCCTGCTGCGCCCCCAGCCGTGACCCGCGCCCAGGAGCCTGGCTCTCCCAGCGGGCAGTCTGCAGGCCGGCGCACAGAGAGCAGCCTGGCAGTGCCTGCTGCGGGAAGAGCAGATACCCGCAGGGCTCTTCAGCTCTCCCACAGTGACGTGTCCTTGGCGCCGCTGAGTTTTTTTCGTGCTTGTTTTCCAGTTCCTGTTTCAATGGAGCCACTTGTGTGGATGGGATCAACTCCTTCTCCTGCCAGTGCCCGGCGGGCTTCACCGGGGCCTTCTGCCTGATGGAGATCAACGAATGCGATTCCCACCCTTGTCTGAACAAAGGGACTTGTGTGGACAGCCTGGGGGCCTACCAGTGCCTCTGCCCCCTGGGTTACACCGGGAAGGACTGCCAGGTGAGCGGCGCTGAGTGCAGGCTCTACAGCCGTCATCTTGACACGCAGCGTTTTCATTTGGACTGTTCCACAGCAGAAGTGGTGTACAGCCGGTGTAGACATGGCTTGTGGTGTCCAGTCCTTTCTGTAACAGCCTCTGACCCTGCTAAAAACCTTGTTCTTACGGGGCCTCTCATGCTTCCAGCATTGGGTATTCTACGCTTGGATCTGTCCACTCTAGCAGCCACACTGTGTTCAACCACAGGGAGTGGGAAGCAGAAAACCACATCTGCCAGCCATGTGGTGCATTCTTGTAGGGAAGACAGCATCAAGACTTTTCTGGGGTCAGGTCTTTACTCCAGGGAAGATCAATGCTATTGCGATCAATCTTTCAGAGTTTGATTTAGCAGGTCTGGTTAAGACCCACTAAATTGAACTCAGAGGGCACTCCCATTAGCAGCTGGTGCTCTTGCTCCTGTGGGAGTACAGCCGCGCTGCTGGGAGGAGCTGCCAGCACGGGGCGCTGGCTGCTGGGTTTGGCAGAACCATGCTCCTCTCCATTGGCTGCAGTGTCTCCTGGAGTAGAGCCCTGCAGATCCCAGTGTCTGTCCGCGGGTAGGCATTTGTATCCCTGCTGGGCCCTAGAAATCCATATTCTGCGGTGCCTCTGCCAGGAGTGGGACATGCTGGCACATTGCCGCTAGCCTGCAGGAGAGCAGGCGTGCTTGGGACGGGGATGAATTGGCAGGGCGGGCTAAGGAGGCCAGTCATGGCAGCAAGGAGCATTCCACTTCCCGCCCTCTGCGAAGGAGGCCATTGGGAGGGAGATGAGAAAAATGCAGATGTGGAGTTGGTGAGTTCCTGAGACTTGGCGTGTCCAGCTGTGCGCCTGGGAAAGGGCAGGCCAGTCGGAGTGAGCGAACCGGCTGGGGAGCTGCCTTTGCAGTCCCTTTGCCAGCCTGCCGCCTTCCTCCAGCTCAGTGGGCGTCTGGTTTTTCAGACACTGCTGGACCTGTGCGCCAAGGTTCCCTGTAAGAACAAAGGCACGTGCGTCCAGAGGGGAGCCCAGGTTCACTGCATCTGTCCGCCTGGCTGGACCGGCGCCTACTGTGACGTGCCCAACGTCTCCTGTCAGGTTGCTGCTTCGCAGAGGGGTAAGGCGTGCTCTGCAGGGCTCGCAGCGTCACGGACCCTCCTGCAGAGTGTCGGGGTCCAGGAGATGGTGGCCCTGGGGCCAGTGAGGCGCAGTCGGGGAGTTTCACAAGGAGGAGCAGCCTCCAGACATTCAGCTCAAGCTCCCTCGGATTCCTGCCCTTGGCTCACAGAATGCTTTTCTCCCCCGCGATGGACCCGCCCCAAAGCTCACGCTCCCCTGAGTCCACGTTCAGGGTTTGTCATCTGCTCCGCACGGGCTGCCGTTTGGGCTCCTCTGCCTTTTGTGCCCTCGCGGTGACTCGCCGCAGGACCAGGCTGAGACCCTGCCCTCCCAGGGGGTGCAGGAGGGTCTGGTACTGTGGGTCAGGGATACTGGTCCGTAGATGCTTCGTGGCCTACAACTTTAGGGCTCGTGCTCAGTTGCTGAATTCAAATGACGCTGATGGAAAACTCCTGATGCTGCAGGAGAGGGCACCAAAGTCTCCCCGGGTGGTTCCCAGAATGTGGGGGCAGGCCCTGCCCTCTCCGGGAGGTGCTGCGGGCGGGCGGAAGCCAGCCTTTGCACACTGACCTGCACGCTGCAGGTCGTCACCAAGCAGAGGCACAGTGTCTAGTGATCTGCGGGAAGAATCCAAGCAGGCACTGCTGGCCCTCATCTGCCTCCGGCTGCGACCGCGTCCCAGCCAAAGGCAGCGCCACTGGTGGGGGAGCAGACTTGTTTCGAAGAGCAGCCCCTGGGATAGAAGGTGTGTCGGTCGGGTTGAGCCGTGCCTGTTCCCAGGGGAGCGCACGCTTGGGAGGGCCCTCGGGAGCTTTTCTCCGAAGTGTTGCCTTGAGGCGGCTGCTGACTTGGCTTAATCAATTCTTGTTCTAGGGCTCCCTGTAGACCAGTTGTGTCAGCATGACGGCATCTGCTTGGATGTGGGCAGCAGCCACCGCTGCCAGTGCCGTCTGGGCTATGCTGGAAGCTACTGTGCAGAGCAGCTGGACGAATGCGCCTCCAACCCGTGCCGGAACAGTGCCACCTGCCGCGACTACCTGGGGGGGTATCAGTGCGAGGTAAAGCCGGGCAGTGCAGAAGAGACACCCGGCAGACGCTTCGCTCTTACTGGCCTGCGTTCTCGTTGCACAGCTCTTCCCTCGCCTTTCGTGTGCTCTGTTCCCTTTAATAGTTCCCAGGCCCTTTGCTAGCCTGTCTGGTCATTTTCCAAACAGCCCTGAGATTTACTCAAGTTGTCGTGGGTCTGCACGTACCCAAGACAGTAACCTGGGCGTAAGCCAAGAGTGACAAGGCAAGAGCAGCCTGGCCCCCAGAAAGGGGAGGGGAAGATGTCGGGTTCTTTCTCCTTCCAGAAGAGAGTCCCTCCACATTAGTGACACTTGCTGGTTATATCGAACAGGAAGAGCTCTGGGTAACAGCTGGTCACAGTACAGAGCTCTAAAGCTCTTAGCAACTTGGGCAAACAGTCAAACAAGATTTGAAGTGGGAAAAACCACAGCTAATATAGCTGAGAATAAGGCCACGTCTTCACTTTCTGAAAGATCGACACTGTGGTGATCGATCTTCCAGAGCTCGATTTAGCGGGTCTAGCAAAGACATGCTAAATCGAACACTGAGAGTGCCTCTGCTGACACTGGTACTCGTCAGATCAGGAGTAGTAAGGGAAGCTGAGGACAGCATTTGCTCCCATTGCCCTCCCGCTGTGGCAATGCTGCCGAAGTTTGAACTGAGGTACGTGGACTCCAGCAAGGCAATTAACAGAGCTAGGGTTGTGTATCTTCACCTGAACTTCCGCGCAAGGCTAGACCTGGCCCGAGTTGAAACTCGGCTACTGGCAGGGAGGGAAGCAGCATTCCTGAAGGGCCTGACAGCTGCGGGTGGACAGTGTTCAGGGTCAGGAGATATGGCAGCTTGTTACTAATATGTTAGAACCCCGCGGGGTGGATTTCGTCACCTCCCCCACCCCTAACTTCTGTGACGACGTGAAAGTAAACGAGAGCATATGGAAAAAATTGCCAGTGCTCATCTTGTGGGGAAGTGGGGCCCAGTGGCTCCCCAGGCTGGAAGGGGCCCCTCTGGCTGCTATACAGGCGTGCTGCTGTTCCAGCTCTCGCTCCCAGGCCGGATTGGGGAGGCACGTTTCAGAGGGGGTTGACTTTACGTGCCACTTAAAATACAGGCCAGCTTCTACAGCAGGGGCGTGCTCAGAGTTCCCTGGGGCCAGCGTGAGGGTCCGTGGACTTGTAACTGTTGGTCCCAGGACGCTAGCGGCGAGGCGGGGGGGGATCTCTGAGGGGCTGCAAGAGCTCTGCTTAGCTCGACAGCCTGTGCACCTCCACCGATTCCCCGGCTCTGTCCGCAGGGCAGGCTCACCCCCTCCAGACACTGTGGGAGCTCAGGCTGCGCTTGGCTGCCTGCGCTGTCCCGCAGAGAGCCCGGTGGTGCACAGCCCCGTAGTGTGTCCCAGCTTCCCTGCGGGTGTGCCGCTCCCGGCCGGGGGCAGCTTCTTTACGCTTGTCTGCTTCTCATACCACTAGTGTGTGCCCGGGTACCAAGGCGTCAACTGTGAGTACGAAGTGGATGAGTGCCAGCTCCAGCCCTGCCAGAACGGAGGAACCTGCATTGACCGCGTCAATCATTTCATGTGCTCCTGCCCGCCAGGAACTCGGGGTAGGGAACTCGTAGTTACGCCAGCTGTGCTGGTGAACTGACCGTAATGCCGTCCAGTCCCCAGGCCTGAGCCTCCTGCCGTGGGAGAGGGGCTGTCCGGCCAGACGTGCCGAGAGCTGGGAGACACGTCCTCCCTGAGCCCTTTGCAGCAGGAACTGGTGCAGTGTAAGGCCTGGAATGATGTGAGCCAGGATGGGATCAGCTGGGTAGCAGGTGCCTTGGTGCCCTTTGTTCTTAGGGGCTAAGATTTCAGCCTCCACTTAACCTCAGACCCAGGATCCCTTTGCGGGAAGGAAGTCTGAATGAATCTGGTCAAACCTGCTCTGCTGCAGGATTTTCATTACCCCCCAGTCCTCCACCAGCTGGCAGCCTCGTCTGTTCAGTGATGAGGATTCTGGCCCCTCCCAGGCCGTCTTGTTTGAATAAAACCTGGGCTCAGACCTAGCCGCCATTTTCCTTAAGCTGTTGGTTTTGCTGTAGCAGATTTAAAGAAAGGGAGGGTCAAATATTGGCACCAGTCAGCAAATATTTCTCTCCCGTGTCCTTTTCCAAACCAAACAAGCCCAGTTCACTCGGCTTTTCTGCAAGATTTTGTTTCCTGAGCCACTTACAAACATGTTGATCTTTCTCTGAACCCTCCTGTTCTATTTCTGAAACGTGACACCCCTGCTGGAGCACCGGTCCCAGCGAGGGCCAAATCTGTGCCCGGCACAGCTGAACAGGCCGTTTGAAGTGGCTTATACAGCCGCATCCGCCCCTTGCTGTGTGCGGTTAACCTCCTCCTGCTCTCCGATCACACGCTCGTGGGTGTGCCCAGCCAGGGTCCCCAGTCTAGATAATCCCTGTGGGAACCACCTTCTGTTTTATCACATTTCCTGTACCGTTTTCGACCCATTCCTCCAGGTCAAAGAGCGCGGCCGTGGGACCTGCCTCGTAGTTAGCGGTGTAAAATGGTGCGTGTAGGAAGGAAAAGCCAAATTCCCAAAGGGCAGTGGGGATGCGGGCAGGCCTGTGGGCGTTCATAGATGACACGCGAGTCAGCAGCATCAGGGTGTTACAGAACAGCAAGTGTTGTGGGGAGTTACATAAATCGGAGGTGAGGGAAATACGGTAATTCCAGCGACTACTTGACTAGTCAGTTACCGTTACTTAACAACCGTAGTTCCCTGCCCTCTACAAGCTTGTGTTCTACCCGCAGACTCTTCTGTCGGCTTGTCTCATTGGCGATAGTGTGAACCGTCGACCCAGACTCTTGTCGTTAGGCTTCAGGGTTACTCTCGGCAGCCTGTAGGCCTTGTGCAGAGCTGTGGGGCGGTGCTCAGCAAACAGTCGCTCCACCCTAGGACAGAATCGAGGGCTCTGAAAGTAGCTGCCTGCCTGTAGCAAACATTGGAGCCGCTTCAGAAGCGCTGGGCTGCCGTGCCCCGGAACCTTGCCTCCATCTACCCCACCTGCTCATGGGGTGGTCTGAGCTGACGGACGTTCATCGGGCAGGGGTCCCGTTAAAGCGGGAGCAGAGCCCGCGGGCTGGGATTTAGTGGAGGGGAGATGTGGAAAGTTGGTGACTGATGAGACCTGAGGCCCTGGCTTCTCGTCTGTTTTCACAGGCCCTCGGTGTGAGGAGAACATTGACGACTGTGCGGCTGGGGGAGAGCCCCACTGCTTTCATGGCGGGCAGTGCGTTGACCAGATTGGGGGCTACAGCTGCCGCTGCCTGCCTGGCTTCGCCGGCGAGCGCTGCGAGGGGGATGTGAACGAGTGCCTCTCCAACCCTTGCAGCCCCCAGGGCAGCCTCGACTGCATCCAGCTGGTGAACGACTTCACGTGTGTCTGTCGCCAGGCCTTCACCGGTGAGCATCTGGGGACGCCACCGGTTCCCCCGCAGCCCTCCAACCTTCCCCTGCCTACCCTGCCCTAGGGCTGCTGGCTTCCCCGGTCCCCGTCCCTCCCCGCCTCGCCTGCCTCCTGCGCGACGGGCGGCACCGGCGACCAGTCCCCGTCCCTCCCGCCTCGCCTGCCTCCTGCGCGACGGGCGGCACCGGCGACCAGTCCCCGTCCCTCCCGCCTCGCCTGCCTCCTGCGCGACGGGCGGCACCGGCGACCAGTCCCCGTCCCTCCCGCCTCGCCTGCCTCCTGCGCGACGGGCGGCACCGGCGACCAGTCCCCGTCCCTCCCGCCTCGCCTGCCTCCTGCGCGACGGGCGGCACCGGCGACCAGTCCCCGTCCCTCCCGCCTCGCCTGCCTCCTGCGCGACGGGCGGCACCGGCGACCAGTCCCCGTCCCTCCCGCCTCGCCTGCCTCCTGCGCGACGGGCGGCACCGGCGACCAGTCCCCGTCCCTCCCGCCTCGCCTGCCTCCTGCGCGACGGGCGGCACCGGCGACCAGTCCCCGTCCCTCCCGCCTCGCCTGCCTCCTGCGCGACGGGCGGCACCGGCGACCAGTCCCCGTCCCTCCCGCCTCGCCTGCCTCCTGCGCGACGGGCGGCACCGGCGACCAGTCCCCGTCCCTCCCGCCTCGCCTGCCTCCTGCGCGACGGGCGGCACCGGCGACCAGTCCCCGTCCCTCCCGCCTCGCCTGCCTCCTGCGCGACGGGCGGCACCGGCGACCAGTCCCCGTCCCTCCCGCCTCGCCTGCCTCCTGCGCGACGGGCGGCACCGGCGACCAGTCCCCGTCCCTCCCGCCTCGCCTGCCTCCTGCGCGACGGGCGGCACCGGCGACCAGTCCCCGTCCCTCCCGCCTCGCCTGCCTCCTGCGCGACGGGCGGCACCGGCGACCAGTCCCCGTCCCTCCCGCCTCGCCTGCCTCCTGCGCGACGGGCGGCACCGGCGACCAGTCCCCGTCCCTCCCGCCTCGCCTGCCTCCTGCGCGACGGGCGGCACCGGCGACCAGTCCCCGTCCCTCCCGCCTCGCCTGCCTCCTGCGCGACGGGCGGCACCGGCGACCCGTCCCCTTCCCTCCCGCCCCTCCTGCCTCCTGCGTGACGGGCGGCACCGGCGACCAGTCCCCTTCCCTCCCCGCCCCTCCTGCCTCCTGCGCGACGGGCGGCACCGGCGACCCGTCCCCTTCCCTCCCGCCCCTCCTGCGTGACGGGCGGCACCGACGACCAGTCCCCGTCCCTCCCGCCTCGCCTGCCTCCTGCGCGACGGGCGGCACCGGCGACCCGTCCCCTTCCCTCCCGCCCCTCCTGCGTGACGGGCGGCACCGACGACCAGTCCCCGTCCCTCCCGCCTCGCCTGCCTCCTGCGCGACGGGCGGCACCGGCGACCCGTCCCCTTCCCTCCCGCCCCTCCTGCGTGACGGGCGGCACCGACGACCAGTCCCCGTCCCTCCCGCCTCGCCTGCCTCCTGCGCGACGGGCGGCACCGGCGACCCGTCCCCTTCCCTCCCGCCCCTCCTGCGTGACGGGCGGCACCGACGACCAGTCCCCGTCCCTCCCGCCTCGCCTGCCTCCTGCGCGACGGGCGGCACCGGCGACCCGTCCCCTTCCCTCCCGCCCCTCCTGCGTGACGGGCGGCACCGACGACCAGTCCCCGTCCCTCCCGCCTCGCCTGCCTCCTGCGCGACGGGCGGCACCGGCGACCCGTCCCCTTCCCTCCCGCCCCTCCTGCGTGACGGGCGGCACCGACGACCAGTCCCCGTCCCTCCCGCCTCGCCTGCCTCCTGCGCGACGGGCGGCACCGGCGACCCGTCCCCTTCCCTCCCGCCCCTCCTGCGTGACGGGCGGCACCGACGACCAGTCCCCGTCCCTCCCGCCTCGCCTGCCTCCTGCGCGACGGGCGGCACCGGCGACCCGTCCCCTTCCCTCCCGCCCCTCCTGCGTGACGGGCGGCACCGACGACCAGTCCCCGTCCCTCCCGCCTCGCCTGCCTCCTGCGCGACGGGCGGCACCGGCGACCCGTCCCCTTCCCTCCCGCCCCTCCTGCGTGACGGGCGGCACCGACGACCAGTCCCCGTCCCTCCCGCCTCGCCTGCCTCCTGCGCGACGGGCGGCACCGACGACCAGTCCACTTCCCTCCCGCTCCTCCTGCGTGACGGGCGGCACCGACCGCCAATCTGTGCTCACTGGTGCTCCCAGAACCATGCTTCAAGGTGCCCTTCTCCCTGGGGTTCGGCTCCGAGGGGCCTGCTCCCCTTTTCTGGGGACCCTGGCTTGTGGTGCACTCCGTGTTTGCCGGCTCCCCTCCTGTCTGAGCCAGGGGCCGTGTGCGCGGTGCAGCCCCTCTCTCCAGACTGACCTGCCTCCGCATCTTTGCTCCTCCGGGGGCTGGCTGCCGAGGGGCAGTCGGCTTTCCCCCGCCAGACGCGGGGTTGGCAGTGGGCCCTCCGCTCTGC